TCACTTCCTGGCTCGTTGCTGGACACTTCTTTCCGTGCGAGAAAACATCATGAACGCGTGTGTCATCGTCTCTTGCATTTTGCTCCGAGAGCGTGAACACATATATTCTCGCGAGGAAATGCACTGACCACGCGCGACGAAACTTCCTATCTCTCGCCTCGAAGTTGCAGCAAATAAATATTTCAAAGTAATTTAAAGTAAGAGCCCTGCGGACGACAGAAGAAGAAGCAATGTGCGCGAGACTTTTAATTCATATCTAAGTTCCATTATAGTCTTAAAAAAATATATATATATTTGTGCAGAATAAATAATAGTCAGGCAGAATTTTACAATAACTTTTGCTCGCTTTTGTTAATTGAATAATATATCAACAAAAATTATTTTTAGATCTCAATAATCGAAAATATCAACATTAATTTATACACATATTGATCGCTATTTACTTATTAAAATAAATATGCATTCTTGTTGTAGGTAGGAATATTAAGAAGTAATCCAAATAGTGGAAGTTACGAATTACGAATGATATAATTCTGAAAACGTCTCTCATGTCATGAATTTTTTAGGAACAAAAGGGAATTTCTTATTCCACAAACATTTAGGTACCTCGTAAGATTTTAGCGATGGGATATTAAATATTCTTCTCCCGAAATCACGATATTTCTCTTGTTTTTCTACGCAATTCAGTGGCGTGTCACTGACCCCTCCGTGATTTAATTTATTTTTAATCCATTTCACCAATCTGCGTGGATGCTGCTGTTGCACTTCGGTGGACGTTAGCGAACGATTTACATAGGCGAGTGTTTTGGAGCCATCACGTACGCCATCGAGTAGTTAATACCTATTTTCGTTTGGTCCGTACACGTTCCATAGAATTTTATTTGGCGGCAGCGGACCGTAACGAAATCCCTCGGCGCTGCGCGCCGGCTAAAATCCCGTTCCGGAGGCCGCGATTGGCGGGCGCTTGATTGAATTGGCGGTCAGTGGCGGGCATTAGGTCCAGCTTGCAAAGGATTGAATTTCTGTCACAATTATCGACCTGGTCCCTCTTATCCGCGCGCCTACGTACGAACTCGGGACCCGCCACGAAAATTCCATGGCAATCGTCTAAACGCAGCTGCTGCCTTTAATAGGAAGGGCAACGAGAAGGAGGGTAAACCCGAATCCAAATGTCCCTGAATGATATTCGAAATAAACAGTCTGCATTTCCAAGCAGAATTGCTCTTGCAAAGGCGAAGGCTTTTGCCGCTCGAATATTTCCTGCTTAGAACGCGGAATTATAAGCTGAGGGTCGACTTTAAAATCTAGGAACGATTAAAATTGCACTCGATTATGACGTAACATCGAGGACAAAGTGAAAATAAAATAGCAGAGATGGATACAAATATTTTCTGTTATATGTATAATATGGATAATTAGGTCGATTATGTATAGACTACCGCGCGAAGATTCAAGAATTTTCTGATATAATAATTGCGAAAAATGTCCATGCATCTTCTCTGGATCACTTGTTAAATATAATTCGAGCTGTCAATATCTACTTGTAAGAAAAAGCCTGATATTAGGATTTCCGTATATACCTGGACCGAACGAACATTTCTTCACATTAACACCGATCTATTGACGCATTGGAAAGCACCGAGAGAAGAGTGTCACGGCCGACCCGAATTGACGGCACGTATACTTTCGTCGTTAAGTCCGAAAACGTGAGATGAATCTGCGGATTAAGCGACCGGGATCGACGCCGAGTCCGATATTCTGATCGGTTCTTGTTAGAAAGTGTTGCGCGACCCGCGCCGTGCCACAAAATATGCAATTTTATGAGTAGTTTCGAGATCTGTCACACATATGACCGTATAAATTCTGCATTAAACATCTTGGGAATTTCATATTACTAACATTTATTAAGCACTCGAAATAGGATCTTTTTCTATGATAAAAATTTGATGTCGACTTGTGTTAAAAATCAATCGTGTTACCTTCTTATTCGTTCTTTCTGTCATCTTCCGTCATCTGTGTGTTACGATTTCGGCATAACAAATTTTAAGCTCTTTATTATAGCTTTGCCAAGTTCAAGGATAATTGCATAGTGATGTCGCACGCCTTGCGATACTAGATTCTTATTGGAAAGATCAGATCGCCCGATAGACGGGGTAATTAGTCGCTGATATGCTAGTTAATTACCGCGTACAGTATGTTAACTGGCAATGACGCGACAGTGCACTTGAACATGTACGGCAATCAGAGCGATGTTATCCGCACTCCTGTTTTTCGTGTACACGCAATCGAGAGCAAAGTAGATATACGCCAACGGAGAGTTGTCTCGATGTTACAAAACAGGCTCGATGCTCACGAGCAGTGCTCATAACATTGTCGCGAGGCGTGCACCTGCGGAAGATGAACGCCGTTCTTCAACTTTTCTAGCGCTGAAGTTTAGTGAAAATTATAGCGATTATAGTTAATATTTCGATTCGTAAATCAAGTCGCATGTAATAAAACTATTAAAATAAAAAAGTGACAACAATAAGATAATAATAAGAAATAAAAATTGATAATTATTTAAAAACATTGAGAATTAATTACTAATTATTACTGTCGTGTAGAGCTATAATTAGCACGATACGTAAAGCGTACGCTGTTGAAACTTCAAAGAACTAACCGTCTTGGGAAGTTGACACCGTCATGTGACGGCAATCTACTTTGATCTGGATTGGCTTCTGTACTGTCCGATCTGGACGCGGATCCTGACCTCCGTTAACCGGGTATCGGTGACCTCACCAGTCGAACTGGATTAGACGATCCCGATACGCGAGAACGCAGACTGCCCGTATTTCGATCTGACAGAATATTTTAGTTCACTTTAATTCACTTTAGCTCAGTTAGTTAATTAAATTAATACATAATTAACAGCCGGATCAATTTACTAGATTCGGTTTTTCGTTTTTCGCAATAACTGGAAAAAGGATCAGAAATTTATTTTCGCGAAAAATAAATATTTTTACCAATTAATACTCTGATATTTTTGATATTTTTTGAATAGTCGATGTTTTAACGCAAAAATCGTGCCATTTTTCATTCTATTATTAAATTAAAAATCAACGATCCGAGACTCTAGCGATCAAGAACACGTTTTAAGTGTAGAAATTAAAACAGGAAGTATTTCGATATAAGTTAGACGTTAATCTGATTATTAATCGTATCTGGCCGTTTCTCTTCTATAATATAAATGACCAAGGACATTAAATTCCTACAACATTTTATAGAATTATCTGTCCGCTGATGTCATCCTCTTAGCAGTTTATCATCGTTTCTCCGTTCATTATCTTCCTCAAGGAAGACTCATCCCTAAAGTATTGCGAGCAGCGAACAATAACTTTTAAAAGTTTTAGTGAAAGGTATTTTGATAAGTAGGGATTATCTGGAGGAGGAAAAGATAAATAAGGGTCGAGTGAAAGTGCTTTCGACAATTTTATGTAAAATATGTGAAGCTGGGGGGGACAGTCTAAAACTTTTGTCAAAATATGTTCTCTTCTGAAATTTTATAAATAAGTATCTTAAATCCGCTGCTAAATATTAGTCAGAAAGTCATCGCAAACAGTGCTTAGTCATTTCGAAAAAAATTCTTCTCCTTCGTTAAGCAACCTTTAACATATCTTTTTATAATCCTGTTAATATGCGTTCCGCCGGATTTTACCGCATGACACACATAGTCGACGAAAATAAAGATATAAAAGTCAATAATTAGTTCTCGCGTTTAATGGCGAATAACGAATATGCTAAATGGAGTGATTTTCGTTGCACAATAACATGTGTAAAGTAGTTTCATTGTAGCACATTGTGTATGCTGCGACTTGGTAAATGGCCGACGATATTAGCGTTTAAATCAATGGGCTATGCATTGTTTTACGTTAGGATTATGAAGGTATCAGCCGGTATCAGCATAAAGATTCGGAAGAATGGCAATTTGTTAGATGTACTACGTTTGATCGAAATTTAACGTGATCCGTATAATGTTTAAATGAGATCTATCATGAAAAAGCGTATTATATAAATATTGAAGTATTATACGTATAACTCTTCGCGAAATACAAATAGTTTGGTAGACTAGACTGCTACTCACCGAGTGGCGGGTGAAGCTATTCTTGCAATTAAAGGGTTAAATCTGCGTTTCGTGTCGGAATCGTACTCGAGAAACTAATTGAGAACCGCGAAGTGCGCTCCGTTAACGAGCGTAATTGTTCTTAGATACAAGGGGATTTAATTACACGCCACCTTGGTCCGCGCGCCGAGCGCAGCGCACCAGCGTATTAATGAGCGACAATCGCGGAGGTAGGTAAAATTACGCAAAAAAAAAGAGTGGTCGGCGTATCAACAATCGTGCTTTTAGCCTGATTCCACATCATTTGTTTACAAGTAAACAAACTGCGGGAGCCCACAACACGCCGCGGGTTAATTAATCGGTCGTATATGGTCAGTCTGTGTAACGTTGCCGATCGATGCTGATACCGATTTGTCGCGATATTCTGTGGAGTTCGAATGAACAATAAATTAAGATTACTAAAGTATTTACGAATATTGCAAAAATTATTCTACGTGTAAGATTAATATTGATGAAAGTAATAACAAATACTTTTCACAAAAACTTAAATTGTCGACGTTCTTGTCGAGGAAGTACAGTTTTCGAATATGTGTGTAAATTATTCCGTATTTTTCTATCGCAGTGCAGAGTTTCAGAATGTACGGGATAACTCTGAATCCAATCCAATGTGGAAATTTTTTTCCCCCGATGTTATATTCGCCCGATCGTCCCGTGCGAACCCAAACCACCGGCTACCTCAATTTGCAGTCCTGCGTAAGATACGTGACGTTCGCGATATCCGCGGGGACCAATCGCGAGGACGATCGATTTCCGTCCGAGCGCCGGCGGCGTGTTTCCGCCGCGTGTTTACATCTGTGTATATATGTATACGTACGATACGTAAACGAAACAACGCACTTACCACGCTCGCGGATTCGCCCGGGGAAGCGCAGATCCGTTGTCCCCTTCTCTCGTCCCCACTGATATCCGATAAAGCAATATCAATTTATCGCGTCTCCTCGCGCGTGTTCGTGTGCGGCCTTCCTCCTCTTCCTCCTCCTTCTCCTTTTCGACTGCTCGTCGCGTCGCGAGATTTCTCTCTTCTCTGATCCTGGAGTAATCCGCGTGCTCTTCCCCTCTGCGGCGAACGTCAGGCCCGCACTTTCTCACGGAATAGCCGATGGAAAAAAAAAGGCGAAGCCGAGGATGCAATCGAATGTGTCACACTCGCGCACAACGCCAACGCTTTCGTTACCCGATCGCACCGATCTCTTCCTCCAGCCGGCGAACTTTTGCCCGTGTCACGTGCAGACCTGTTTCGGACCCACCCGTCGTCTGCTTTCTCTCTTCCTCTCGGTCGCTCTTAGTATGATCGAAGAAACGTCACTTTCTCTCTGTCCCACCTATACCCGTCTCTCCGTCGTCCGTTAAATGCCACTCTATTCGTCTGTCACTATATATCTTCTTCAATAATAAACTATCGCGATACGTCCATCCGAGCCTTACGACACTTGTTTACTTAAATGTTTATTTGATTTCCAGGTATATCTCTGTCACCTCTCGACTTTATTTCGCATTAACGTCCTCGATCGATTTTCTCGAGAACAACAAGCCCACTCGCTCGCTTACTCCAAGTCTCTTTTCTTCGTTCCCCCTACTATCTTCACCTCGTCCTCGTATCAATTACTCTCGCACCTGTCCGGCTGACAGACCGACGCCGCTGCCAGCGCACTTTCACGAGTCGCGCTGCTTTCGGTCGCGTGTGCGGAATCGTCACAACGGGCGAAACACACCGGTGACACTGACGATCGCGTGCCTTCCGATCTTCTCCCCGCGGAAGCGATCGAGCGCGATCGCCCCGCCGAAATTTGCGCTGACCGGAAAAGGCGCTTCCGTCCTCGCGCGCGATTGATTGATCCCTCGATCGATACCGCGGACTTTCCCTCCTCTGGTCGTTCACACCGGATCCAAGACGACCCCGCGATGTTTCATCGTTTTTTTTTTCGCGATAGTTTCTTGGCGTAAAAAGAAATAAAAAGAAGAAAGAAAGAAGAAATCCGGAGTAGCGAAGATTTGAGATCTTTCTTCGTTTCTTTTCTTTCCTTTATACGAACCGCAACGAAATCGCAATCAACGTGAATTACTCGCGGTCAAAAGCTCGCCCCGAGCGGGGGGGACTTTTTCCCATGCGGGTGAAAAACGGAGTTCCGAAAAGGCCGAGTGCTCGCGGAGCTACCTCCCGTTCGGTGCAGGCGTCGAGTGGCGACTGTCGTTTCTTCCAACGCTCGGCCTGCCTCCGGCCTGCCTGTCCCTTCCCCCTCCTCGAGACCATCGGGAACCGACTACACACAGTTCACGGATTTATGCTATTACCGCACCGTGTTCCACCCCCTGCGGCCGGTGCTGCTCTTCATCCATCCATTGCGTTGGTCTGTCCTTTTTTTCTGAACTCCGTACTTTCTCGAAGCCCAGAAGGGCTCGATGAAACTGCTAACTCGGACACGACACCGATCAGGATTTTTCTGTGTACAATTATCTTTATACATAAAAAATAATCAAATGTACAATAAACGATAAAGAATCTACAAGAAGAGAGTGAAATACAAGGTTGATATTAAATCATACTTTATTTGTACCTACTAATTGTCTATTTCAATATAAAAATATGGATTCTCGCAGCAGTGAGAGTATCTTTTTCCAGGCCCCTTGTACCAGAGCCTCGGATATACGATTCGATAAAGTATCTCCCTTGAAGGGTCGACCCCCTGTCCCCATAAATACGAATATCCATGCGAAAAGAATCACGATCGTGCAGTACGCACAGCGCGTCACTAACTCGTGCACGTGTGCAGTTGCAAATATAAAAAATCAGATACGTGGATATACGGGGACATGACACAATAACGGGGTTTCCTCTCGGAACCGGAAATCCATAAGTGGACCTTAATGTAAAATAATTATTT